GCCATGTGTATAGGTGGCCTTTCTACTCTATCCGATGCCATGTGTATAGGTGACCTTTCTACTCTATCTGATGCCATGGGTGTAAGTGGCCTTTCTACTCTATCCGATGCCATGTGTATAGGTGACCTTTCTACTCTATCTGATGCCATGTGTATAGGTGGCCTTTCTACTCTATCCGATGCCATGTGTATAGGTGACCTTTCTACTCTATCTGATGCCATGTGTATAGGTGGCCTTTCTACTCTATCCGATGCCATGTGTATAGGTGACCTTTCTACTCTATCCGATGCCATGTGTATAGGTGGCCTTTCTACTCTATCCGATGCCATGTGTATAGGTGGCCTTTCTACTCTATCCGATGCCATGTGTATAGGTGGCCTTTCTACTCTATCCGATGCCATGTGTATAGGTGGCCTTTCTACTCTATCCGATGCCATGTGTATAGGTGGCCTTTCTACTCTATCCGATGCCATGTGTATAGGTGACCTTTCTACTCTATCCGATGCCATGTGTATAGGTGACCTTTCTACTCTATCCGATGCCATGTGTATAGGTGACCTTTCTACTCTATCCGATGCCATGTGTATAGGTGGCCTTTCTACTCTATCCGATGCCATGTGTATAGGTGACCTTTCTACTCTATCCGATGCCATGTGTATAGGTGGCCTTTCTACTCTATCCGATGCCATGTGTATAGGTGGCCTTTCTACTCTATCCGATGCCATGTGTATAGGTGGCCTTTCTACTCTAGCAGGAACTAAACCATGTACAGCCTTCTGTCAGAGCAGGGTTGTTTTGCTCTTCTGTCCCCAAAGTTCTTTGCTGGGGCCCCTGGTGGTTTTTCCATATGAAGAGCAGAGCCAACAGTCAGAAGACTAAAAGCCCTCTGCAGCATTCCAGAGTTCACTACACAGGTGTCTTCCCTCCAGCACTCTACCCTGTGACTTCCAAACTAAAGGAGACCGCTGGCTTCTACCTCATCTGCTTTAGGTAGCCTGGAAAAGCTCTCCCTTTAGGCAAGATCACTGTCCTTGCCTGAAACCATCATTTCATGTATTTTATCTGTTGTTGGGTTGTTTTTTTTTTTTTTTAGCTCTTTAAGGCAGGATAAGCCTGGTCCTTGTTATTCCTATTATGAATGGGGGGGGGGGGGGTCTTAATGTCACTATAAAATAAAAACAAGTCTTGAGGAATCAGAGTGAAACAAGCTCCCCTATTTCAAAATTGTCAAAGAAAAAGACCCACAAATGAAAACGGACCCCTTTTTAAGTAAGCCCTTCATCAACAGTACTCAGCAGAAATAGTAAACATGTCGGCATTTTTAGACAACATTTTAACTTGGCTGGGCCTGGTAGCACATGCCTGTAATCCTAGTTACGCAGGTTGCAACAAAGAAAACCAAAAAATGGTGTGACTTCAGCAAAATTCTGTAGAGAGAATCAGAAGGGGAAAAGTAATGAAACAAACACAAACTGGCTTGAGCAAGCTGGTCCTTTTTTTCTTGCGGGCCCCACTTTGTATTGTTAAGACCAGATAATGAGGAGCGCTTTTTCTTTGTAACAATTCATTAATCAGAGAAATGATCCTTGCTAGTGTTTAGATGTTTTACTTAATTTGGTACCTCTGGCCTGCTGCCCCACTCGTGCCAAAATTATTATTTCTCACCCAGCAGGTGATAAATAACAACTTCACTCGTGATTAATACCGTGAATCCTTCAACCTGACTAATGCAAGGAAAAAAAAAAAACAACAACTGGAGACCTACGGAACAAGTGGGTGACGATTGTGAGAACTGTGGAAGCTCTGCTCCACTTGTGAGGGGACAGCCCCAGGAAATGAGGCATTTGCCAACAGTCCAGCTGATCCTTCGAGGCTTCATTAAGCCCATCTCAGCGATATTTGCCTTTGCGGTCCCAGTGCTGGTTTTTTTACTCCTAACACTAAGTTCTAAGTACCTTCAGAGAAAAGAAACCACCAACTCACTTCTGCCTACATTTAAATACATATTAAATGGGTGACTGACCAAATAATAAATGAGAAAATGGAATTCTTACCCAAGTACTAGACACTGTAACACGGGTCATTTGGGAGCTATACACATTCTCTTGTTACTTCTGAAATACTGCAATCATGCACATATGTAGTTTTGCTCAAACCCAGAACAATGTTAACATTTGCTGCTGGCAAAAAGGAAAGCTACTTGCAATGGCCAGCAACTAGAGCCACATGATGCCATCAACTTTATCACTATTGGTGATGCACTAAACTCAAGTACCAGTGGTGCTTAGTTAGGCAGAGGGTAAGGAGACTGCACCACAGAAAAAGCTCCCTTGCCTCCTCAACAAACTCCTTTACACAGCCATGAACGGGATTTCACTGGCTAACCCTGGATGACTTAGCACACACCAAGTAGACTAGGGTTACCTTGAACTCAGAGATCTGTCTGCCTCTGCCTCCTGAATGTAGGAATTAAAAGCACACACCGCTGTGGTCTCTGATAATGCACAGTTTAAGTCACACATCAAGTCAATAGGTTCATGAAGGGAGTCAATCAGTTGAATGTGGCCTACAGATATGTTTGGCAGACAAGTAGGGTTTTTTTGTTTTTTAATTTGAATGCCTTTATATAGATGGCTGGATTCTAGCACGGCACAGCTCCATTACTAACAGCTGCGTGTCTCACCCCTCATCACAGATCTGTCTTTCAGGCTGAATTTGTGACTGCTGGCTAAACGGAAACGTGCAGCAGTAATAGCAGAGCACGAAATAACTTGGACGGAGGTGTGTGACTGCGAGCAGACATTCTCAAGAATCACAGATTAAGTATCGACTTCAACTAAAAAATGTCTTACCTCTCCTCTTATCTAAAGCAGTGTGCGGTACAGTATCAAATCACTTGAAAATTGCACAGTAGTGTAAGAGAAAAGGAAACAGAACAGAGGGCTGAAACCCAGGTTGGTATCAGACTTAACCAGAATCTGAAGTGAAAAATGAAACAATCTAAAAGAAGAATCACCTTTCTCATTAGCCAGGTATGGAATAAAACCCAACAAAAAGGGAAAAACCTCAGTCTAGAGCTGATTTACCAGACTCTTTCCTTATACTAGGAGGAAATAGAAGACTCAGACAAATAACCAAATGTAAACTGATACTCCAAAGTCCAAGAATCTCAACTCAGGAGCCCGATTCCAAGTTCAAGGCCAGCCTAGACTACCTCCCAAAACTAGTGACTTGTAAAGGAAAATCTCTATTTCCTATGATGGAGGGGAGGGGAGGTGAGGGGAGGAAAGGGAGGGGAAGGCAGAATGATCAAATTTACTTAAATAAACTTTGTTGCGTTGTAATTTACATACAATAAAATGCAGTTTGATTTTTATAAACATCAGAAGCAAAATAATTTCCCATTACCCTCCAAAAAAATGCCCCTCTGCATTTAATCCATTAAGAACAAAAAAATCTGACCCCAGGCAACCACTGAGTTACTATGGATTTACTCTGATCTAAATTTTACATACATACATCACTCTCTTCAGAGTACTTACTTTACACAACCCTGGCTGTTGAATGAATTAAAATAAGCACTTCAGGGGCTGGACTCAGCAGTTAGGAGTACTTGCTGCTCCTAGGTTCAGATCCTAACACAGAGTGCAGCTCACAACTGTCTGTGACTTCAGTTCCATGGGAGCTGGCCTTTGAAGGCACCAGGCATACACTTGGTATACACACAAACATGCCGAGAAGTACTCACACACACAAGAATTTTGAAAACCTTGAAACAAACAGAACAAGTAGTAGCAAATGTCTGTAATCCCAGCACTCTAGGGACAGAGACAGACAAGTCTCTATGAGTTCCAGGCCAAGGCTACATAGTAAGGTACTGTTTCTTTTTTTTTTTTTTTTAAGCACTTTATGGTATATAAACATGACATTTAATAACCCTTTAAAAGTGTTAGCCTGAAGTCTAGCAGTGGTGGCGCACACTTTTAATTCAAGCACTCAGGAGGCAGAGGCAGGCAGATCTCTGAGTTCCAGGACAGCCAGGGCTACAAAGAAACCCTGTCCTGAAGAGGGGAAAATGTAAGCATGGAGATGAAATACAAGTGAAAATGAGAACAACTATGTCAGCGTGGAGGGGAGAAGGGCTCCCCCAATGTCAGCATGGAGGGGAGAAGGGCTCCCCCTAACATCCCACTCTTCATGGAGAGGCCAACGGCAATTAATGACTGCTGAGAGAGGGAGAGTCACTTTTCTTTGGGGAATCCTACCAATGCTTCCCCACAACCCACGCTGGATGACCTCACAGACATGAGTAATGTGACTTAGGTTGTAAAAACTTTCTAATTATTTTAAAGACAGGAAGTTAGGGAGGAGGTGGGATATATGTGGGGAAAGAGATAGGAGGTACTGGAGGGAGTGGGGGATGGATATGACTAAAATATTTGTATACATGTATGAACATTTTAAAAAATTGGGACTCCATTTCCTCTTTTTTAAACTGGAGATGATCACCATTAAGTGTTCTGTGAGATTAAGTGAGTTAGAAATGTTTGGTAAAGGATAAGAAGGCTGTATCAAGTGACTATCACTCTCGACATGTCAATAACAGATTTACATCTGATTATAGCATCACTACTATGATGGGACAGAAAACACTGGGAAATCTGAGACTATATAATTCTTAGTTTTTGTGTATGAATTCCCATCACTACTCCTATGAAAACTACCCTCCCTTCACCAAAAAAAAAAAAAAAAAAAATCATCCCTGCCCTAATGAAACACTGTTTAATTCAATTTAATTTAGGTATAAAGAATGCTCACCACGAGTCTCACTGGATGACCTACAGTCACCCACTTTCTCAGCACACTCGGAAAGAGTACTTGGGGTGGCCAGCTTCACCATGTGCTCAATAGTCTCAGTACACACATCAATTGCTTTCCTTAGAGAACTGTTTATTCCATGCGTCCTAAGTTCAGTGAGTCGCCAAAAAGACCAAAGTAAATGAAACGACCACAGTTGCTTAAGGTTTATTTGTATATGATCATAAAGAAATAAAATGTCAAGATATAGAATACAATGTAACAAATCAAATAATTCAAAACAAGGTGGACACAAATAACAGTACAAAGAACACGTATATGACATTATGCAATTTTTTGAGGTTTCAAAAAACAGTGTTTTTGGTTTTGAAATTCTGAAACTATTATCTATTATTATATTGTTCAAGTAATACATATTTCAAAAGTTAGATTTTTTTTTTAAATAATAACTGACATACAACTCTAAGACAACCTGCCTTTACCCCGATCTTCAAAATAGTGCTGTTCAATTCTTCTGCAGAAAGCAAGGAGGTTGGTATAGTGTTTCACCTTCTCAGAAAGTTCATCACTGGTCAACTGTGTGGTAAGAATGGTGTACAAATGGCCAAACACCAGAGCATCAAGTTCAGTAGGTCTGAAAAAAAAAAAAAAAAGTACAGATGAGGAAAGCTGAAGCACCTCATTTTTATGTCAGAAAGTATTCTTTTTTGAAGAACATTTTATTCATCAATTTAAAAGGAAAAAGTCACAGAAATAAATTCTACCACAACCACAACTTGATAGAATTTTTTCATTTTAAATTTGTTATAGAACATGAAAAAGATAACATATTAGTTTCATTCCTTTTTTTTTACCCCCCCTCCTTTTTTATTATTATTATTTTTTATTTCATGTGCATTGGTGTCTGCATGTTTGTCTGTATGAAGAAGGTGTTAGATCCCCTGGAATGGGAGTTACAGACAGTTGTGAGCTGCCATGTGGGTGCTGGGAATTGAACCCAGGTCCTATGGAAGAACAGCCAGTGTTCTTAACCACTGAGCCATCTCTCTAGCCCTGCATTCATTATTTTAATCACCAAATAAACAGTCCATTTCCAATGTGGCAGAAACTATGTTAAAAATTAAAAAAAAAAAAAGATATTCTAAGCCATGGAACACACACACACACACACACACACACACACACACACACACACAGAGCAGGTTCTCCATGTGCCATCACAAGAGTCAACAAAAAGGTGAGGTGTCTTACACCTCACTAGAACTGCACTTACTGAACTGTTTCCCTGACCAGAGTCTGTAAGTTTTCAAGGCAGCTGGCACTGCCTGAAGCTTTATAGCCCCAGATCTTAGTACAGTATCTGTAGACTCCAGGATTTGCTGAACACATGACGGAAAGAAAAAGAAGTACGCTGCAGAATGTGGGGTCTTTTTTCTAACAATAATTATTCCCACCCTTCCGCAGTCTCCCCTCTCCATGCAATGATGGAGTATGACATAAAGCGAGGTGAACAACTGAAGTACTCAGGCTTAGTCAGTAATACTGTGAATTCAAGGTGATCTTGGGCTATACACAAATTCCTGTCTAAAAATAAAAGAAAATGAAAGTGTGCAATCTGTGGTCATGTTGAAGTAGATAGTCAAAGGGTAGCATTTCTTTTAAATAACAAGAGTCCTTGAACTTAATAGCACCATAATTTTTTCATCATAAATGAAGAATCAATAACAGGCAGATCCTTCAAAGAACCAAGGACATGAAGTGGATAAATGCAGAGTTAAGGTACTTCACAGGAAGTAATATAAATACTAACTTTCCTACATCCCTAACATTTCTTAAAAAGAGATATCTATCTTACAAGTGGGGACTTATTTTCTTAACACAGGTTTATATCAATCATCCTTCACTTCCTGCATAGCTGGGCACTCTTTATCAGTAAATGAAGGCTCTGAATGAGGTCAACAATGAATCTGTGCTCAAGGGTGGGTCAGAATTACCCAGAAGTGATCAAAATGTCATATGCTTTTTAAAAGCATTTACTCATTTAACTCCAAAGGCACTGAATTTATATATGGATATGAGCATATACAAGCTGTTACATTAAGAAAGCTACTTAAAGTTGCTTTTTAGAACCTATGAGGAAGCAGGATATAATAAATGACCCAAACAAAGCATATACATTATCAAAACACATTTCTTATAATCCTTAAAATTTAAGATAATGTCTCCTTATGTGGTCCTGGTTGGTCTAGAACTTTCTATGTAAACCAGCCTAACCTCAAACTCACAAATTCACCTGCCTCTGCCTCCCAAGTGCTGACATGAAAGGCATTCACTATCAGGCCCTGCAATCCTTACAGATTTCAGTGACTCATATTAACTGATTCTGAGTTTTACAAATTATCAATTCCCACAATTCCTTCCTTTTAAAAAGTACTTGTACGGCTGGAAAGATGGCTCAGCAGGCTTAAGGTACTTGCTGCCCATCCTGGTGACCTGAGTTCTATCCCAGGAACTCCTATGGTAGAAGGAGAAAACCAGCTTCCCTAAGTTTCCTCTGACCTCCACACTTGCACTATGGAATGCCCCCCAACACATACATAATATAAGTTTTTTAAAATAAAGTACACTTGTGGTTATGCAACAATTATGTATTTCTTAAAACTCAAAACCATAGTCATAAAAGTGCCAATTTTATAAAATGTGAATTATGCCAAAAAAACAAAAAAAAAGAAAAGAAAAGATAAGCAACCAGTTCAGAAAAACCTACAACTCCTACGAAAGACAAGGACAAACAACAAAAACACATGAGCCAGGGTAAGGCACTGGCTCAATCCAAACTCAATCCCTGGGCCCCACACTGTAGGAGAGAACCGACTCCCAGAAACTGTGCTTTGACCTCCATGCATGCATGCATGATCCCTGCACACACACACACACACACACACACACACACACACACACACACACACACACACACACTGTAAAAAAAAAATGCAAAAATTTACATTACTCAGAATTTCTACAATACTGTTGAATCACACAAAGACTATCATGTACCTTGCTCTTAAATTTCTTTGTTATACTATGAAGAAAAAAATACTACTTCCCACTCTTGTGCTTAAAAGTGACTTTGTGGACTGTGATATGGATATGTGTGTACCAATTCTCTTCCTATGAGCTTTAAGATATTTCAAATGTATTGCTACACTCATCTTTGCAGACTTCTCATTAGGAAAATATTCCAGGATGATGTTACTGAAATCCTAGTTACCTTATCCTGCATCATCATCATCATGTCTGCTGAGTATTCATTCTTTCATATGAATATCAAAATGGAAACAGTGCTGTAAAATGAAAATATTTTTCTAACCTTTTCCATTTAAAAGTTTTCTCCTACCCATTCTTTTTGTCTTATTCTGTTTTTTTATCTGATTCCCCCCCTCACACCCCAAGACAAGGTCTCTCTGTGCAGTCCTGGAACTCACTTGTAGACCAGGCTGTCCTTGAACTCACAGAGATATACCTGCCTTTGCCTCCCAAGTGCTGGGATTAAAGGCATGCACCACCACACCCAGCTATCTAATATTTATAGTATCATTTAATTCCAAAACCATTAATTTTGTCTAAGTGTCTTCATAATTTCTCTTTTCTAGTATTACTTATCTTGCCATCTCTTCATACTACTAGAAATAGTATAATACACATACACACACACACATATATACATATATAAAATAGTGAGCTGTAAAACTGTTACTAAAGCATGCAAATCAAAGACCTTTGTGTCTTCTTCCTCAATTATTGTTCTTGTTTCAAGATCTCCCTTAATTTCTTTTTCCTCTCTTTCTTAAAACAAACAAGTCATTTGGTTACTTTTCAAAGTCTTTTCTCAATATCTCTGGTAGTTAAGTAACAACCAAAATTTCTTTTAATTTTAGGAAGTAAAAGTAGAATACAAAGGAAAAGAGAATTTGTCACTGTTCAGTATACATGAGAGCCAAGGGTAGATAGAATTCAAGGCTTCTAAAGAGAATCTAATCTATGTATCTTAAGCCAGTACCTTACTAGCCAAGATACTCTGTATCATGAACAAATGACTCCTGCCACAGATAAAGAAATGAAAAAGAGTTTTGCATAGCAAAATAAAATTACAAGCTCCCTTTTCCTAAATGTAGTTTCTTCCATCTAATACTGATTAAATGATGGGCAGACAGACATGTGGTACACACCCTTAATCCCAGCACTTGGGAGGCTAAGCAAGAACGAGCATAGGTTGGAGGCCAGCCTGAGCTACACAGCAAATTCCAGGGCTACACAGTAACAGCCTTATCTACAAAAATTAAATAAAAAGATTAGGCAATATTACAAATTAAATATATTATTCAATCACAATTATTGGTTAATAAAAAATATTTATCTGGGGTTGGGGATTTAGTTCAGTGGTAGAGCGCTTGCCTAGAAAGCGCAAGGCCCTGGGTTCAGTCCTCAGCTCCAGAAAAAAAAATTATCTGCCTAAGTATCATATTAGGTAAAATTTTTGAATATGTATATCTTAAATACCAATTAAACATCAAATGCATGTCTTCTGTTTCACAACTAATTTTTCTCTAAATCACATGCCAAAAGATCTCTAGTTACCAACACTTTAACAATGACTAACTAAAAATTATTCTCCTGCCTGCCCCAAAAGACAGCATGTGCAACAAAACTCACTCAATGGTCAACAAGACTAATGCACTTCAAACAATACAACATACCCCCTCTCAACGTCTAAACTAGTAAGAATTCAATATCAAAAAGAAAAAGAACTACATAATACTAACATCTGAGTACATTTCTTTGTGTTAGGGACCAAACAATGGAAAGGCAACATAGTTGCAGAAGCTCTAATTTCCAGGATTTGGTGAATCCTGTAGGCTTTCTGCTTCAGAGATTAACAAGTCCCAATTTTTAAACTTAAAATAATTTTATATAACCTGAGATGTATATATGCTATATATATATATATATATGTAATTTTATATTACTTGTGTTACAAAATGATATAACTGAAATATTTCTAAATTGTTGTCACATTCATTTTTACTATATGTTTGGCATGACTACAGAAGATTTCTATGAAGAATAAAAATCATAGCAAATAAATCTCTTAAAAATTATCACCTAAGGAACCAGACTACTCTTTTGAGGACTGTGTTTGGCTCCCAGCACCCATGTCACAGCTCACAATCACCTATTAACTCCAGCTCCAGGGCTGAGTGCCCATGAGTACTTGCACTCCCATGCACATACCCAATATACACACAATGTAAAATAGAACAGAATAAAAAATGTTTTTTTTTTTTAATTATTGGAGCTGGAGAGATGGCTCAGTGGTTTAGAGCACTGGCTGCTCTTTCAAAGGACCTGGGTTTGGTTCCCAGCCCCCACATCACAGCTCATGACTGCCTTTAACTCCAGCTCCATAGGATCCAATCCCCTCTTCTGGCTCTGCAGGAACCAGCCCTATCAACAAGCTCTGGATTTGATAAGAGACCTTACAGACCCTACTTCAAAATAATAAAGCAATGAGCAGTCTAGGAAGGTTCCTGACATCAACCGCAGGCTTCCACAGGCACACGCCTATCCATGCATGTACACCCATATACACGTGTGCTCACACACATGGGATCACACAAATGCATGCACACCACACACATAAAAATACATGAAAAGATTATCAACCTAAAAACATTGTTTTTAGTAAGTCAAGAAAAAGATAGCTTTAAGAAAGCCATTGAGATTAAAATATTAATTTAAGCTCATCTATACTGGATCACAAATTGACAACCACTTTCAATATATTATTTTTGCTATTAAAGTATATTCAATATACTTTAATTTTTGCTAGGCAGTGGAGGCACATGCCTTTAATCCCAGCACTCGGGAGGCAGAGGCAGGCTGGGTCTCTGAGTTCAAGGCCAGCCTGGTCTATAGAATAAGTTCCAGGTCAGCCAGGGATATACAGAGAAACTTTGTCTTGAAACACCCCCCTCAAATTATAATTTTTAATAAAGGAAAATCTTTGCCATTTTAATTTAAAAAAATTTAATTAGCATTAAATTTTTAAAATCTTGTTAACAGAATATGAATTATTCAATTTACATATATATATTTTTAGCTATACTTCTCAATGTCTGTTTCTCATCCATCTGACAGTATTCTGCTTGTTTGTAATGACTCTCCTGGCCTTCAAGCACCTTTCACTATGGATTAGAGTTGTATTAGCAGCATATTCATGTTTTTGTATTTGAAAGTTTAATATTTTGTACTTCTTATAGCACCTTGAACTATCTCTATCAAAATCTTTGTCAAATCATACAAAACTTGATTGATTTATAAGACTGATCTTAAGAAAACTTAACAACAAGGACTGGACTTTAGAAATCTGATCTCAGAGCCAGCACTATGCCTAACAGCCAAGAGGGGATAAATGTTTAATGAGTACAAAAATGAATTTTAAAAATAAGTCTTCTTTATATATTCATTCTGTAATGTGTCTTGCTGCTTGAAAAGAAAATCTGTGGATAGAAAGCTCCCAACATCAATGACATAACCACAAGGGGGCTAGAGCCCTTCCCTGTACATAACGAGAGGAGCCGCACAGCTGGTCCCCGCCAAGAAGAGCAGAGTTATATGTACTTCTTGAAAAAATAATACCTTTGTGATAAAGACATTTGGAACCTCTATGTGAAGCAAAGACATATCACAATAATAAAAACATCTTACTGCTTATTGAAGAAGTAAGGTTGTGTTCCCAGTCTCTGAGAAAGGGCTTGACAGCACTGGTCTACATCTTCTAAGACCTACACAAGGCAGTGAACCAAAAGAAAAAGATCCACATTAGCAAAACAATAAAGGTATGTAAGACTCTACTTATATCACAGTTTATAACAGAAAGACTCAGCTTAAAGTTCAGACCACAGACCATATACATGACCTAGACAATGCTTTTGATGTTAATGGGAATTAGTGAATACAAGTACATTACATTACTGATAAAGATCGTCGTTTAACAAAAAGTTTTTCTCTCAAAATTTAATTCTCTAAACAATGTTTTACTGAGTCCATATAGCCAATGATTTTGCTTACACTTTAAGGGGCGGCTGCTCCATAAAAATGACATACTGAACTGTGCTTGAGATTGATCTTACTTAGTCTATTCACAGTCACTTGCTAAACCCCCTTGCAGCACACATCAGTCAGACGTCTGGCTAGAAATCAGGGATAGCAAAAAGAAACCCCAGTTAGCTTAAATGATTGTTGCTCAACCTCATGACCTTGAAAATTACATTTTTAAATTTTTTTGTTACTTTAGTAAACTTAAGACACCCCCCACAAGAAAAAAAAAAATCCAGTTAAGTACTGTACTTTTTTTGTTTTTCAAGACAGGGTTTCTCTGTGTACTTTTGGTGCCTGTCCTGGATCTTGCACTTTAGACCAGGCTGGCCTCGAACTCACAGAGATCCGCCTGACTCTGCCTCCCAAGTGCTGGGATTAAAGGCGTGCGCCACCACCACCCGGCTAAGTACTGTACTTAATAAAGGTTTTTTAAGCTCTGATGCTGCAGATCTATTTATTGATATAAAAGATTCCCACAATATGCTGTTTAGGGGGAGGAAAAAAATCAAGTTATAGAATAGCAGGCATAATATGATCCCATTTGAGAACAGTGTTACTTAGACATCTAGAAACATATTCTCCAAATGAAGAGGGGCAATTCTGAGGTGGCAGGATTTCAGAAATTATTTGTCATTTAGACCTTATAGGCAAATAAGCACATGTAACTTTCATAAAGGAAATATAACTATATCACAAGAGAGAAATAATAGCAAGTATTTTGTTGTTTATGTTACACTATTACATTGAGGTTATTTTTTTAAAGTAATGCCATTTTTAATGCATAGGAATTGAAGCTTTTATTAGCTTCAGTCAGTACTGACCTGGTCCAGAGTCTTGTTCCCCCATCCGATAGCTTTCATCTTACGTTTGACTTCCCACTGCTTCTGATAGGCCAAAATGTGGTTCAAAGGCCAAGGGTACGGAGATCCATACCTAGCATGAGTGATCTAAAGCAAAAAGACTTTGTGAAACACAGAATCTTTCCTAAAAATAATGCATTTTTACAAACAGAATTCTAATATGTATGTACTTTCAGAGAGCAAATACATAAAGCAATCTGGAAAAAAATATATATAGCTTACAACATAAAAAATTAAAATTTTAAACCATTCCCTTTAAAAATATATAAACTTTTATGTACTTTGCAACCAGTTCTATCAAACAATGACACATAGCTTCCCTAAAATGTATGTGCAAGCAAAATTAAAGTAAGTGAAAAACTGTATCACTAATGGTATAAACCACAATGTTTCATTTATGAGCAGGGACTTGCGATTCTGAGCAAAAGTGTTTTCTCATTAAATTTTAATTAAGATAAATGCTGCAGAACCACTCACCTCCCCTACTGTAGCTTCATCACACCACTGGAGATACAGCTAGGAACAAAAGAACAGTCACCGAAACTTTAAAACACCAAAAAGCACAGGGTCAAACGTCTTTCTTGCCATAGTAATTTCTGTTTTTTTTTTTTCTTTTCTTTTTCTTTTTACCATAGTAATTTCTAAGAAGCCAACTTTGTAAATCAAATACATGAGTTTTTTTCTTCTTGGATAATTCACTGCACAGAATTATCAAATTTATTAGCAGTACTTTACAGAAAACATTTCTTATGCACAGAATATATGTCTAAACATCATTATTTTATGGGTTTTATTAAAGTAAACTTCAAAAGACTAAAGTCAAACTGTGAATAGGCAAGACTCACTCCTTACAGCAGAAAAACTAGAGCTGAGAATATTCAGAAACTTTGTTTACAGATAAAGATCAAACAATTCAGATGACCACCGCAGCCTGAGTCCTACTTCTCAATGGCTTTAAGGTAGCCCATAAGAAAAGCTTTATATGAGAATACAAATTATACAAAATTACATTTTATTTCAAACCTTATAATCTTATACCTCTGCAGTCAACAGCATATTGTTGACTAATTCCATGTAAGCTTTCATTTCTGCTTTTTGGACTTCATCCAACCCATCACTAAGAGAATGGCCCTAAAGGGAATTTAAAAAAATTTTAAAAGAGCATCATATTAAATATACAAAATCTTTCAGTTATCTTACTATCATAACAAGTAATGTAATATGTAAATGTCCAATGGATTAATTTCCAAAAAGCTTCTTAAAACAAAATGATTGTATATGAAAGTACACCTAATATTCAACCACTACTAAGTAGTATTAATTTGTCATTATATACATGTACTTTCAATAGAAAATATTATAGGATGAGTTACTTCATAAAGGAGAAAACAAATGGTCAGTAGTAAACCTTGTGTTTTTCAGGCATGAATCTTAAAAACAAAAGAAATGCCAAACATGTGCTACTTATAAAATGGGCAAAGATGGAAAAAAAAAACCCCACAATTTAGTAACAACACGGGGAGAAAGACATGCTATCCAAACACAGTAGCAATGGAGAGACATGAAACAGTACAGCTTCTCGCTCACCTTGGCGAAGATATACGCCAAAGCATCCCAGTAACGCTTTTGGAAATTTATCTTTTTGTTTGCTTTGTTTGAGACATGGTCTTAATTTGTAGCCCTGGCTGGTCTGGAACTCACTCTGTAGACAAAGCTGGCCTCAAAGTCACAGAGACCCGCCTGCCTTTGCCTCCTTCTGAGTGCTGAGATTAAAGGTGTGCACTACCACGGCCTGGCTAATGAAGTGTTTCGTAACTGTTAAAATCTAAATTAAACAAATGAGCATAACTACTGATTGACAAGTAGGCAACTTGGTACTTTCAACTTCATTTATGACAGAAATTCTAATTACCCTATATTAGAAAATCAACCTATATCTCTGCTATGGATTTATATTATAAAAAAGCACCCAACTTAAAGTTTAGAAATATTTTCTAATAATTTACATTAGCATTTCATAAAGCTAGGCTAAAAATCAATAAAAATGGTCAAATGCATTTACTATTTTTTTCCATTACCTTGGCTTTAACGAATTGGACTATAGGACCAAGTTCTGACACTACTTGATTTCCCACATGAATAAAAGGTACTTTTCCTGTTGAGGAGAAGAAAAGATGTGAGAAAACAGCCTCAGTAAATTAAAGTTTGTGCTAGTAAAAAAAAAAAAATTAACAAGAAACTCAGGAGTTTTGTTCATAAAGAAATATTATAAAATTATAACTTTCCAAATGATAGCCAGAAGCATCTGCTAAAGTCTACAAACTTTAAGCGATGATTGCCAATAAATTTTAAAATAAAAGAGCCAAGTATAGTAGTACAAGCCTATAATCCTCAGGAGTCCAAGGCAGGAAGACTCTAAGGTCAAAAACAGCCCTGAAAGTAAAACTCACAGAAATCAAATTACTAAAACACAGGTAGAGAGGGGGAAAGAGCAAGTCGATTCATTTCTAGAGTTCTTGCCTAGATATACCAACAAATCATCATGTACTCATTTCAGAGCTAACACTAAATGAGACTAGTAATCACATGGGCCAAGCTAGTTCAAGGACATCACTTAGGACACTAGTTCAATGTTACTGAAAACTTCCACAGAAATGTAATGGGGATTTCTCTTCAGGGTACAGCACAAAACTTCAATCTATACTGAAAAGTTTTGTTGTTTTTTGAAACAAGGTCTTACTATGTAGTCTTGGCTGACCTGGATCTCACTCTGTAGACCAGGCTGGCCTCCAACTCCCAGAGATCCACCTGTCTCTGCCTCCTGTGTGCTGGGAAAGGTAGTCTTCAAAAGATTTCTTTTATGCTTTCTAATTTTAAATCTGATACCCATTAAAGTCAATATTCTTTAATAAATGTCTTGGACTCAAAGAATTTACTACCTTAGAGGTATGCTAGTTTGAGTTATGTTCCCAATATGCGAGAGGAAAAGGAACAAACACAGGCTTTTGAAATGTTAACACCGAGAGACATAGCTCAACTTACAGCTACAGTGCTTGACCAGCATGAGGCCTGAGGTCTGTTCACACCTCAGCAGGGGGAAGTGAGGGAGAGAGAGAAAAAAGAAAACTGGTGCCTTTAAATAAATGACACAATTAATAAACATTAATGCTTAATACAACTATTAGAGATCAAGGAAAATATAGACTCTAAATAGCAAGCTAGTCCACTCCAGATGTTAAAGGATGAAACCTGCTGTCAGATTTAGTTCACCCAGAGTTCACACTAACAGCAGGCTTCTTCCTGCTCCTGTTGAGTATATTCGCTTCTCTCTAATTCAGTCAGCCTGAGGGTAATGGATGAGGTGCCTGGCACCAATAAAAGCTTCCTCTGCATCTATGGGACACCACTACAAAGAAAAGGGGAGCCTTTTGGAACACAACACTCAATAGATGTATATTTATTTCCCTATTACCAATGGTGCATTCCTTCTATCTGCTTTACAAATCTCAAAAAACAAACAAGCTAAACTGGATAAACACTACGCTATATTATTTGGTTTTGACTTGGAAAAAATCTTCATTAAAGTAAATACAGGTCATCTGAGATTTTGGAAAAAAAAGTTTCATGCCTAGACTAATGGGTATTGTGAGGTATGACATTTAAGATTTTATTTGATGTGTGTGTGCACATGCGCACATGCATACACATGAATGACAGTATCTGCAGAAGCCAAAGGAATAGAAACTGAGGTTATAGGTGGTTATGAGCCACCTGACATGTGTGTTGAGAACTGACCTCAGGGCTTCTATCAGAGGTGCACATGCTCTTAACCCTGAAGCCATCTCTCCAGCCCCCTCGAGAGCAACATTTTTAGAAGCAGAATATTTCTCCTTTTTAATTCCTTTCAAATTCCTTGGGGGGGGGGGCACGTTGTCTCCTTACAAATACATTAAACTGGGCGGAGGTGAGGACCAAGTGCTTGCTGCACAGACATGAGGTCTTGAGTTCAGAGTCCAAGGACCCTCATAAAAGGCCAAGAACTCTAGAACCTTAGTGCTAAACGATGGAGACAGAAAGCTGACCAGGGTCTGGCTGGTCAGCTAGTCTAGCCAAATGGTGAGCTACTGGTTCAGAGAGATCTTATTTCAAAAGAAAACAAACCAACAAAAAAGTGGAGAGCTACAAAGGAAGATATATCAACTTCTGGCCTCTGCATGTAACACACCCACACTTAGCACCCACATACATAACTGAAGCATTGTAGGTAATAAAGCACAGAAATAATGTGGCTAGCCAACTGTATATGCAAAAATATCCAATAAAGAGATAGACTGAGAGATCAAAGCAACAGATGAGAAGGGAAGGATCCTTTTCTTCTCACTAGGTTAACTACAGTCAATGTGCAGTCTTTATTGCATGTATCAGGCAAAAACACAGTGAGACAATTCTCTGTACCAAAGTAGAACTGTGTGTTCTGATTCTCATTTTAGACAGAAGTCACTCCAGACCAATTTTTTCTTCTTTTTTTGCCCATGTGTGTTTGTGTGTGTGTGTGTGTGTGTGTGTGTGTGTGTGTGTGTGTGTGTGCCCATGCACACATGTGTACAGGTGCATTCACCCATACAAATATGGGAGTGCAGAGGCCAGAAGTTTATATGATATCAGTGTCCTTTATCATTTTTCTATCAGTCTGTCTCCACCTTATTTTGATTTTTGATACAGAGTCTCTCACTGCACTTAGAGCTCAAGGATTAGCTAGACTGGTGTGTCTCTGTTTCCTAGCACTGGAATTTCAGGCAGGTGCTGGCATGCCCAGCTTTTTGTGGGTGCTGGAGATCTGAACACTGGGCCTTATGTGTGCATAGTAAATATGGAACCATCTCCCTAGCCCTGTTTTATTTTTTTTTTCTAAAGAAAACAATAACATGTTGTCAAGTAAGTCTGTATATTCAGAGAATGTTAGCTAGAAACGTAGATGTCATCTAGTCTGAGTAGCTCATGTAACAGGCGAAGTTAAAAGAAGAGAAGTAGAACTCCCCAAAGAAATAGTTAATTACTGGACAAAGTAACAGGATTAATGACTTCCTAACTTGTAACCAAAATGTTCTCTAACTGTCCTATGTTCTGTTTTAAAAGTCTATTACAAGCTGAGTGTGGTGATGCATGCCTTTAATCCCAGTACTCAGGAGGCAGAGACAGGTGGATCTCTAAGTTTGTGGCTAGCCTGATCTACATAGAGAGTGCCAGAATAGCCAAAGAAATATAGTGAGTATGGTGGTTTGAATGAAAATGGCCCCTATAGACTCATAGGGTGACACTATTAGCAGAACTATGGGAGCCAAATAAATCCTTTCCAAGCTCGTCTGGTCATGGTGTTTCATCACAGCAATAGTAATCTCTAAAAATCCAAAATATATTGGATTTCCAAGTCTAGAAAATTTTTTTTAGAAATGTTTTCTAAAAGTTTATTCAGAAATCTAATAAACTACATTTATATGGAATTTTCAGCATTATGGGTTGGGTGTTTACAGATAGTCTAACAATTATTATCACCCTTAAAAGCTTAAGGGTGAAAAGAAAATGCTAAACACAAATAGTTCCTAAATAATCATCATATCAAAATGAAGAGATTGACAAATTTGTATGTATAAAAAGCAATATAGCGAGCCGGGCGGTGGTGGCGCACGCCTTTAATCCCAGCACTTGGGAGGCAGAGCCAGGCGGATCTCTGTGAGTTCGAGGCCAGCCTGGGCTACCAAGTGAGTCCCAGGAAAGGCGCAAAGCTGCACAGAGAAACCCTGTCTCGAAAAACCAAAAAAAAAAAAAAAAAAAAAAAAAAAAAAAAAAAAAAAAGCAATATAGCATACCTATGCTAATCAATTATACATAATCACTTATTCATGAAGGAATGATTTTGTGTTGTTATTGCTCTAGTAAAACCAAAATAATCTGTGACATCATATTTAACATTTAATTAGCTTTGTGGCATTATATTTTTATACCAAAATTATTTGAATCTTATTTAACTGGCACTAGTTAGATCTCCTGACATATAACACACAAATCATCCTGATCATTAAATCTACTAGCATGTAACACAGATCATCGTTATCATTTAAAAGAGTAAAAGTGAAGCTTTAATAAAAGTACTTTAAAACACTAGAAAAAAGAAAGTTGACAATTTAATTATTTCATGAGCTTTCTTCTTCTACCTGTTCTACAGGAAAAAATACAGGATGCTGAATAATAGACTCATTAGTATTAAAATTTGTTTTCAGAAAAGGAAAGCCCAGTGTAAATCAGACTGAGGAAATCTGATGTCACATATGTCCTGAACATCCAGTTAAAAACCTCAGACCAGAGTTGAAATAAGTAGACATAGGCCTTCATGATTAAGCTTATAATAGCTACTTAAAAAAAAAAAATGGGAAAATAATTCTTCAAAGGGAAAAAAAACAAAACTAAGAATTTTAATATCGGGGGCTAGAAACATGGCCATAGTAAAGTACTTACCTAGCATATCTAAGGCCTTAGGTTCAATCCTCAGTATCAAATAACTAACAAGTAGTATTAACAGAAAACACACACACTTACCAGAGGGAGACATATATTCTGCATTTGCCCTACACACCACTTTGACAGGCAGATTACACATCTGCAAAAAGGCCTGTAAAGAAAGAGAAATGTAATAAACCTAGTAAAAATACATGCATATTTCAAAAGAACTCTTCCTCATTCCTTTCCTAAACTAAATAGTTCATACAATAATACTACACTGGAAAATTATGAGCAGTTTAAAGTTTCCAAACAAAAATATTTTACTTAAAAAAAAAAGACTAAGTCATTAGTAAATATATAAAACTTAAGACAATTATATATACTTAAGAAAAAATTTTATTCACATTTTGTATTACTTTATGTAAGTAAACAATATTACATATTGCTTTAACATCCATTTCTTTAATGGATGACAAATGTCAAAATTTTATTAAGATACTGATGTTTTAATTGTTTCATTCATTGCAGGATCACCATCTTTCTCATTGTACTGGAAAATTCAAAATGTCATTTCTGCGACTTCAATATTCTTTCCAGTAATCCTCAAAATACTAACATGTATTTCCTATGTTAACTAATTCATCATTTAAGATTTAAAATTGGGAGCCAGTGAGACAGCCCAGTGAGGAAAGGTGCTTGCTACCAAGCCTGACCGTTTGAGTTTGACACCCCCCCACCCCGCGCCAGAACCCGTGTGGGTGAAAAGAACCAATTCCCAAAAGTTGTTCTCTGACTTCTATACATACAGATGACATGCATGCTCATGTGCTCGCTCTCCCTCCCTCCCCCCTCTCTCTCACACACACACAACTAATAAATAAAATAAATAAAAATTTTAAAGAGACAAATTATTTTTACTTGGTTTATAGAAAGAAAAATTTTGAAGGAATTAAATGTCTACCAATAAAGAAGTAGTTAATCATAGTACATCCCAAACCAGAATGTTATACAGCTGTTTTAAAAGCTTATGCTTTTGAAGAATTTTCTATGATAAAGAAAAAAACATAAGCTGGGTGTGGTGGCATACACCTTTAGTCCCAGCACTCGGTAGGCAGGTGGATCTCTGAGTTTGAGGTCAGCCTGGGCTACATGGTGAATTCTAAAACAGTCAGGGCTACATAGAGACCCTGTCTCAAAGGAAAGAGAGAAAAAGGAAAAAGAAAAAAATATACACATATACAAATTGCATTACATCCACGCTGATTTGTTTTTAAATGTTTTTAGGTCACCAGTGAGTTCTACCTAATCTACTACTTTCTGCAATATTCCAGGTTTACTCCACTTGTATTCTTTCATGACTTTCTGACTTTTCCTCTTACATACTTTCCCCATGTTCTACAAAATAATTTATTCAACTGGGAAACCTGAAGCTACTGTAGTTCTAATTCCCATACACACTTTAGAAGGGGGAAAAAAACCTTTCTTATTTTCACAACTTAATGAAATTATAATAAAAACAGTCAAATGTGAGTTACCATAACTGACTTCATTAACAAGGCTATTACTTATCATATATTGAGATTAAGACTAGAACAGCCTGCTTATACCCAATCAAATTTCTCACAGAGTTGTTTCCTGTGATTCCTTTTCCATTCAGGATTGAAAATCAGTTTTGAACATGAACAACATTCTATACAAAAAAAATCCCATTTACCCACTTATAAAACTAAGGTAAGACTGTCCCAGGCCAGCCTGGGTTACATTACAAGATCCTATCTTGTTACATGACCCTGTCACAATAAAATAAAATAAAGCTCTTATTTTAAAAAGTATGTCAATTAAAATTCTAGTCCTCTAGAAACGTAGATATGCTTTCCTTTAAAAGAAAAGAAAATCCCTTTACTCACAGCCTGACCACTACACTGTTTTGTAACTTATGTACATCTGATCTCCCCGAGCAAAAGAAATGTTTTAGAAAGCCAAAGAATGTATTTTTTGCTTTTCTGTATCTCTCCTGGCCTCCTCACAATCTCCTTCAATTGTCGTACAACTAACTTACAATACTGGGGTATTTGACGCGAAGCCTTCGATGCTGCATACTCTGCAATGCTATCTAAGTACACCAACCAGAGTGGGCAAGAGTTGACTGGCAGACGCTGTTATCTGCCCTACCCTCACCCGTCCATGTTCTCCCCTTTCCCTGAAGTGGGAGAAGTCTTGGCAGCAGACACTAAGTGCAAAGTCCTGGTTTCCATCTCAGCACCACAAAAGGCACAGTCAATGGAAACAGACATAATCAGAAGAAACAGAAAAACAGATAGCATCTATGAAGAGGCACTACAGAAGACAGACTACTAGTCAGGAAGAGAGGGGCTTCAATCAGGAACAGGACCCTTTTCATACTGTAACACAAAGAAGCGAGAGATCAGCGATGAGGACTGCAAACCGATGTCAGGAAAAGCAAACAGACCAGGGCTGAAAAGACAGCTCAGTCTGTACAAGTTCAGCTCAAACTGGAGGGCCTGGGTTTGGATCCCTAGGACCCACATCCGAAGCCCAGCACAGAGAGTAACCCCACCTCAGGGAAGGAAGGAGGAAAAGCAGAGCCCTCGCTCGACCTTCCTGGCTAGCTGGTCCAGCCTCTCATTTGAGTTTCCGGTTCAGTGAGAAACCCTGTCTCAAAAACTGTGGTGGAGCTGGCCACAGTGCCCATGATTTTAATTCCAGAACTCAAGATGCAGAGACAGCTCTGAGTTTAAGGCCAGTCTGATCTACATAAGACATTTCAGGCTTGCCAGGATTACTACACAGTGAGGCCCTGTATAAATAAATAAATAAATAAATAAAAGTGTAAAATGACAGCTGACAGCAGCCCTTATCTCCATAAACACACACACATGAACATGAAAACACACAAAGACAAGAGATTGAGCATGTACTCACATTACCTGTGAGATATGAAGAGAGATCATTTCTTGAGAAGGGAAAACTACAAGACACTAAGGCCTTCAACGGAGCAAGAGTTTGAAAGAATTTAATTCTTTTCAAAGGCCTGAATAATTCCAACTGTTAATTAGCAACTACTAATACTATACAAAATGGTACATATGGTATGAAATTGTACTACATGGAGAGTATAATTATGCCAATCAATATTCCATAGAACTTTAGTCCACTTATATTGTTGTATAATCAAACCCATACTTAAACCCCCAAATTTTTGCTTCTTTATTAATAAAAAACTGAATTAATTTTGACCAATTTAATGACACTCAACGTACAAACCTCCACTGAGGGCATGATTCTTGTTAGACAAAGATTAATTTTGTAACGTTAATATATTTACTCTTCGTCACTAGTTCAGAAGGAATTTCTGAATTCATCTGGAGTTCACAAAGAAGTTTGATAATTACACAGAACTTCCATTCAAATATTAAAAATGTAAAAACAAAGCATTACCGTGATTATCTTCAGTATGTAAAAACTTCAAAGCAAAGGAAGGTCTGACTCAATTAGTACTTTTGTACTCTCTTTGTAAGATGGAAGGGAGCTGAAGTTCCAAAACAGCACCTTTCACGTTTTTAAAATATGTTTAAGTGTGTGTGGAGGAGGGGGGGTGCACGCATGTGTGGGTACCCATGGAGGTCAGAGGTTACAGATCCCAATAAAGCTTGAGTCACAGGTAGCTATGAGCCACATGGTGATATTTTATTTGTGCTGAAATGTGATTTTATTTGTATGTTAATAAATAAAGTTGCTTGGGGGTCAGAGCTAATAGTAAGCCATAGCAGAAGTCTGGCAGTGGTAGCACATGCCCTTAATCCCCATTACATGACAGGCAGATCTCTGTGTGTTCAAGGACAACACCAGCATGGAGACCCATGCCATAGAAGACCTGGAGGTCTGTATAGACAGGCAGTGACGAGGAGGTCGTGTGGTTGGGTTTACAACCAATGAGAAGGCAGAACAGAAAGTCAATAAAAAGAGATACACAGGAAGTAGGTCTCTTTCTGAGGGGAAGGACGGCAGCACCAGCGAAGGGTAAGAAGGTGGTTTTAAGTCTCAGCTCTTAGCTACTGCTCTGACCTCTTGGGCTTTTAACTCTGCACTTGGCTCTGTGTTTCTTATTTAATAAGACCGTTACATCTACAGAGCTATCCAACACTAAAAGAACAGTAAGAGCTTTTAACCACTGAGGTATCTCCAGCCCCTCATTTTTATTTTAATCTAAAACTACTCCAAATAATAGCTAAGATACACCAACCAAAAACACATTTTGTTTTTCATTTGAAGTAGAAATACTTATTTTTATTCTTAGGTAATACAAATGCAGTCTTGGTTATAACAATGAATTTAGGCTAACTTAACCTCTTATTCTTCAGTTGGACACTTAATTCCAAAGCAATTCAAAGAAATAACAACATGAAACAATTTCCTTAGTATATGGTATCCCAATGTTTTATTACCAGGCTGTCCAATATGGTAATCACTAGCAACAAGTTGCTATTTAGGTTAAATTTAAATTTAATAACATCGTACAAAATTTTAAAATCAGTTTCTCGGACAATCCAGTTATTTTTTTTCATATTCAAGAGGCAGTTGTGCCTAAGGTCTACTACATTTATTATACAGCACAGATACCAAACTTGTATGGGATGGGGTGATGTCTACTGGAGGCCTACTGGATAACATAGGTGTATAACAACATGGGTAGCCAGTACAGAAGAGAACGAACAAGGCACGAAAGGCTGACATCACCTGAAAGTGACTAAACTTTATAAAGACAACCTACAAGAACTGGAAAGATGCCTCAGCAGCATCCCAAATAATATGCATAGTACATTTCAAGTCTTTATTACCAAGTACTAGTAATATTCCAGAAGGAAATATGGTTAAATTAAAGTTAAAGTTGCCAGGTGGTGGTAGCACACGCCTTTAATCCCAGCACTCAGGGAGGCAGAAGCAGACAGATCTCTGTGAATTCAAGGCCAGCATGGTTTGCAGAGTCAGTTCCAGGACAGCCAGAGCTACACAGAGAAATCCTGTCTCAAAAAACCAAAAGACCAAAAAGTCACCCATTTCCAGAAAAGCTAAGTCTAATGATTTTTAAAAGAAGTTAGATACATTAAAACCTTCAAACATCAAGTAGCCTTTGATTCAACTGCAGAA